GGCTTGGACTGGGTGTCACCGGTTTAAGTCCTGCTCTGGGGCCAAGAGCTGCTGCCTCTCCTACTCCAGCTTCAGCTCTGGATGCGGCCTCTCTACTGTGTGTGTGTAGGGCACTTCCCAGCAAAGACCAGGAGATGCTAATGACATCCCCCCATCCTCTTTCTTAAAGAGGACTAAAACATCAGCCTTACAAACTGGGAGAATGTTGAAAGGATGAGCATGGCCCCAGAGCAAAGCAAGACATGAAAAGTTTTGTGTTGACATTAATGGAAATAACAGTACTTTCTTAGCTTCACATACGTACTCTTCCATCCATAGCAAGATTTTGAGTGTAACAGATCCTAGGAGGGAAAACAAATACCTCAGTGCTTTTGCTACAAACATGAATTTTTGTAGTGGGTAGCAAACACTAGCCACAGTTACCCTGTGCTGGGCTTCCACACATATCATGCAGACAAGTGTATGTTACTACTCCACTGCGTAAATCTAGATAATGTTGCACAATAATTTGATATGCCTGTAAAATACAGGCATACACTGATATGTCAGTCATGGAATTTAGTCTAAGAAGGAATATTTTACTGAAGTGCTTATGGTTATGCCATAGCTGCAATGTGTTCCTACCAGTATGCAGTAGGATGTAGCTTTTTATCACCACAGGTCTGGAACAGTAGGTGTGCGGGTGAGCAGTTGGTACTAGATAATCCAACCAGTGCAGTTGTCACAGTGTCACCATAGACTTTCTGCACTAAAGATGTAGTGTGATTTGTGTGCTAGTGAGCAAATAACTGTGTACATCGGATGGATCTTTAAAATGACTGAAAAAAGCAAAGACCAGACTGAAGATGTGGCTTTGCTAATCTGTGCTAGGAGATGACCCAGATATTTTCTCTATCTATATAAGAGACATATAGGAGCACTGAAGCCTGAAAATAGCAAAGATATCCAGAATCCCTCTACTTAGTTTTGTAAATATTTTTTATTTAACATTTATTATTATTGGTATTATCTAAATATATTTATTATTATTAATCCAAGCAGATTAACTGCATTTACAGAGTATTAATTATTTTGCTTTCCAGTTGAAATGTGGACTGTACACACATTCATAAATGGACTAAAGCGTTATTTAGTTTCAGTTTTGGGTTTTATATGTGTATGTATTCTCTGCAGAAAAGCTGTTGTATAACTTATTGCAGAGATATTCCCTAAGAAATTGCAACATATATTCACTTACCTTCTGGAGCTGTAGCAAAGGGAAGAAGAGTATTTCTCCTCTTTCTCTAGTGGAAGAAGCTTATTATTGCTACAGAAAACAGTATATGTTACAGTTCTAAGTTTATATGACACTGCCAACTAAGTTCCGCAGTCAAATTGCATATATAGTATAGGATGAATAAACTTGAAAACAGAAAATTAGAAAATTAGATATAAAAAGTAATCTAATCAAACAACCTATTCATCCAGATGGAAGAAACTGGAAAAAATCAAGGATGAATAAAATAATAAAAGATTTAAATTTTGTGATATTCAGAAATTATCTAAATTATGTTTACTTTTACAATCTTGTTGGCATCATGCAACAAAGTGTTTCATATTCTAAATAATTTTACTCTACAATGTGTCACTTTACTCTTTCCTACTGAGATTACTTCAACTTTTAATTGTATGTGCTGACATTTATATGCTAAATACTGAAGAATGAGTTGGCAATTCCAGTTTTACCAAATCTAATTCCTTAATGGTCAGTTTTCTGGCATAAAAAGTCATGAAATGCTGACCTCAGCATTTAGTCAATAGCTGTAGCTATTGACTAAAATACATTTTTAAAATATATTAGTTCATTATGACCTTTTAAACAGTGGTAAATCCTGCCAAACAGCTGTTAGATTAATACAAGTCTAATCTAACAGTTCTCAGTCCTTCTGTCTGTGCCTTCCTGGGGTTTTAAGTGTAGGACTTCATCTGAACATACTGGACTGGAGAAGCAGGACAGGTAATGGAAACTACTCAGGGTTTTAAATTCTGTATTTTCCCTTTGTTGCTCCTTTTCGCTACATAGACTACAGTAAAATATCTATTACTATTAACTTATTTCAGTTAGAATCTTAGTTGTCCAAAATGTAATGTTGACAAGGAATAAATTTACAGTGGTGAAGAAAACAGAGTAATAAATCCCCCCCTTGGATTTCAAAAGAGGAGGACATACTCCCTGAAGATTTCTTTCACTCTAAGTATTCATTAAATGCTTGTCATTGAGCCATATTAACTCAGTTCTCTCTCTCTCTTCTCCTACACAGAAAGTAAGTAATGAAACATACAGGGTTTTTTGAAAGTAAAAGTTAAATGTTTTTGTTTTAATGTAGCAACACTGTCTATTTACTGAAGTAATGAATCTTGAATTTGTCTTTGTTTTTTCAGGTATATATGACTGAAGTTCAAGCGATTCTTTTGCATATGGGTGCAAGCAATTAGTCTATTTCATGGTATGTGCCAACTACACCATCAACCCAGTGGCAGGAGCAGTAATTCTTTGGAGAATTTATAATTTTAAATACATGGTGATTAACATACTTTACGATATCTCAAACAGCACAGACTCACCAGGAAGTGCAAAAATTCATTAGAATTAATTAGGAGTTTTGTGCCTTTGTGATTGAGGCCACTTTATTTGTAAGAGAAGTCTCACTAAACCAAAGGAGTAAAATTCCTAAGACTTCTTACTGTGATTATGTGGCTCTTAATATGTAGCCTTACTGAGAATTACAGTGTATAATAGTTTTAAAGTCCCCCTCTTTCACTCAGAGCAATTCCGCCTCCTGAACTCAAAGGAATTTCTCTGCAAATATGCATATATATATATATATATAAAAATATATATATAATATATATATATAAAATACATATATATATATATATATACACACACCTATGTGACACTACTGTCTGGAAGAATAATTTCAAAATGGGATGAGAGAAAGAATATACCAAGATAAGGACACAGGAAGGTGGAAAAATTACTTTCAAATGAGGGCTTATTTCCAATCTGGAAAAACCTGATCACTTGCAAAATGTGAGGTCTTAACAGAAGGGGATGTTCTTGAAGCTAAGCTGGATATTTTTCATGCTTTCTTCATGTTATCATTACTATATCAAGGTACTACTAGAACAATACATTATGATCGAAGTTTAGTATTTAGTTTTGAATTTAACATTTCTTAACTATGAGAAAGGTCTAGAGTCGTACACTAGTTTTGTGTTAATAATAAAAACCTAATACATAACATTTTGGCATACCCCTTTATCTTCTGCATTTATAAGTAGGTTAGGTTTTGAATGACTGTAATAATTTTTAAAATGGATCTCTGTTGGGTTCTTAATGGCACTTAAAATCTAATTCTCCATACACTCTGCTGACAGTTTTCTTATGTCTTTCTAAAAATGCTTTGCATCAAATACAGCTCCTATTTACAAAAAATGATACCATTTTAGGATGGAAATGCAAATTGCAAGTCTTTAAAAAAGGGTGGGTGACTACAGGAGTTATGTTCAGCATTTCCTCTTGTATTCTTTTGGTTTTAATGGTGTATTGCAAAGGTGAAATTATTGTTGTTTCATTTGCAAACAATGATTTGGGAAATATTTTTTTAAGGGAGGCATAGTTTAGTTCTCTAAAAGCATGGTTCACTGAAATTAAGAAACAACCATACTCTTTCATCAAAGCAGGTATTATACATGGTTTGTCTTGACAAAATAACCAATTGTGTTCTTGTGGGGTCAAGTACTCCACTAACAAAACTGACCATCTAGGATTTGGATCTTAATGGTATGTGTTCTTGTTCCTTAGATAAAAAGACTGATCTGGTAATTTAATTTGTCTTTCAAAGACTACAAAAGTAAGAATAAAGTGTTTTCATTCAGTAAACCAAACCTGGATTAACGAGCTAAAAACGAGCTGCACTAATGATCAAAAGTTCTTTTTTACCAGAAATCTTCAGACCTACTAATTTCTCAGTAAATGCTGGTGGATTTTGTAAGGTAAACATGGCTTTGTACTTCTATCAGAAGTATTTTCCTGATATAGAAAGAATAAAACAGATTTATCAGCCAAATGAAGTTTCAGAATATGGTCCAGTCTTTTGATACAAGAGTTGATTGCAAGTTGGGAAAAAGGAAGGATGTATACTTTGTAAGGATTCTGTGACAAAATATCCTTTTAACTCTGCTATACTGAGAATCATATACTTATCCATATTTGTGTGCTTATTTGGTGATTTCAGTTATTTTTACAGGAGATACTATAAAAAAAGCAGTGGAGTGGAAGGAATTTTTAATTGTTTCTATTTTAATGTTGTGTACTATTGCAATCTTTCCTAGATAGAAACATTAAACATATTAACTACAGTACTCCTAAGTCTAAGACACAGCATAGAATTAAAGCCTTTCAAAATACACTCACAAACATTATGTAGTGATTTTCATTATTCTGGATTTTTTAGGGGAAAAATAAATAATTGAAGTCTGATAAGAACAACTGAACTCTGCTTATTGAAGAAACCGCTTTCCATTTATTTTTTCACCATACTTTGTAAAATCTCATTTTCAAATATCTACAGAATGTTACAGCTCACTAAGGAAAACACATACTTTATGGTTTTGTCAATACCTAAAATTATAGTAAATTATAATTCAAATTTTAATAAGAAAAGCCACTATTATGTCCCAGTCCAGGCTCATAAAGTGTTTACCATTTTTATTTCTTTATCTGAGATTTTGCATAGTTGGTTTAACTGTTACCAGAAAAGAGGAATATCTGTAAGTCCTTCCTATGCAACACTTCAGACTACATAATGTTACTAAATGCACATCCTTATTGAAAGTTAGTATTATGGCATTTTATAATATGAAAATAATATTACTGCATTAGCAACTTCTTTTGTAATTCTTTTGAAAGGACAAATATTTTTATATTGCATAAACTTTTTTATGAAGGCATCATGTTAGTACCTGTATTTATTAATTCCATCTTCACATGTGGCTCCATGTTGGCACTGGTTTACCTCACACTCATTAATATTCTCTAGGCATGTTTTTCCTGTCCATCCGAGAACACAGACACAGTGAGATCTCTGGTTTTCTTCATCGTAGAAGCAACTACCTCCATTTGCACATACCTGAAGGCAAGAATTACAAACACATTGCATGGCCAGTTTTGATAGTGAGAGGGCTGTAGAGGAGGTTTCTCTGAGAAGCTGCCAGAAGCTTTCCCCATGTGTGACAGAGACAATGCCAGCTGGCTCCAAGATGGACCTGCTGCTGGCCAGGGTTGAGCCCATCAGTGACAGTGGTAGTGCCTCTGTGATAACATATTTAAGAAGGAAAAAGTAGTTGCAACTGAAGAGAGGAGTGAGAATATGTGAGAAATACAACTATGCAGATATCATGGTCAGGGAAGAAGGAGGGTGAAGAGGTCCTTCAGGCATCAGAGCTGAGATTCCCCTGCAGCCCATGGTGAAGGCCATAGTGAATCAAGCTGTTCCCCTGTAGACCATGGAGGTCCACGTTGGAGCACGTTGGATCCATCTGCCTGTGGAAGAGACCCATGCCAGATCAGGTGGATGCCCAAAAGAAGGCTGTAACCCTTTGGGAAGCTGGTTCTGGAGTAGGTTTACTGGCAGCACTTTTGACCCCATGGGAGAGCTACGCTGGAGCAGTCTGTTCCTGAAGGATTGCACCCTGTGGAAGGGACCTACACTGGAGGAGTTCAGGAAGAACTGCAGGCCATGGGAAGGACTCATTAGAGAAGTTTGTGAAAGACTTCTGTGGGAAGGACCCCACACTGGACCAGGGGAAGGACTCCTCTCCCTGAGGAGGAAGGAGCGGCAGAAACAACATGTGATGAACTGACTGTAACCTTGATTCCTAATATCCCTGCATCGCTCTGGGGGAGAGGTGCTAGAAAGTTAAACCCAGTCTATTGGGCCTGGCTGAAATGGAGTTAATTTCACCCCAGAACAACCCTCAAAGATGTGTTTTGCATTGGTATCTAGAAAGATGTTGATAACATACCAGTGTTTCGATTCAACCACTGCTGAGCAGGGCTGGCACAGCATCAGCACTGCCTCTCAACATTCCCCACCACCCCATCCAGGGCCTGGGGGTGGGTAAGATCCTGGGAGAGGACCCAGCTAGGACAGCTGACCCAAAGTAACCAGAGGGATATTCCACAACAAATGATGTCAGCTCAGATAGAAAAGCTAAGGGAAGGTGTGGGAAGTGGGAGTATTTGTTATTTACAATGTTTGCCTTACAGAGCAACTGCTATGTGTGCTGAAGTCCTGCTTCCTGAGAAGTGACTGAACATTGCTTGTTGATGGGAAGTAGAAATTAAGCCAATTTTTGTTTTCCTTTGATTGTGTACACACAAACTTCCACTTTTGCTCTGGTAAACTGCCTTATCTCAGCCTACAACAACATGGAGTTGTTCTACATCTTATTTTCTCTCCTCTGTCCTGCTGGGAAGGACAGTGATAGAGTGGCTTGATGGGCATCTGGTGTCCAGTCAAGGCTAACCCACCACATCCAGGAAGGAGAGAGGGATGGGAAGAAGGTGTTTTAAGTTTTGTTTTACTTCTCCTTATCCTGTTCTGATTTTGATTAGTAATAAATTCAGCTAATTTCCCTAAGTCAAGTCTGTTTTGCTTGCTCAGTAATTACTGAGTGATCTCTGTGTCCTTTTCTCAACTCGTGAGCCCTTCATTATATTTTCTCTCCCCTGTCCAAATTTGGAAAGGAGTGATAGAGCTGCTTTGATAGGTGCCTGGCATCCAGCCAGGGTCAACCCATCACATACATAAAGAGATTTTTCTTTATGTGTTGGATTTTTTTTCCGAAGAGTTTAATTGAATAAGCAGTTGATAATAAATATGGTTATTTAATCTTTTTATGTTGTAATATTAAAAAAAAAAATCTCCAAGAACCTAAAATACTGTTATTAAATCAATATATCAGTTTACCATTTAGTTGGAAAGGTGCATTTATTATTTAATTTAACAGTATCACTTTCATAACTGCCTTTAAAATCTGCTTTTTAGGATGGATGATAGTGAACTGGCCTGTTATTTTTCCACTGAAAGAGTAGCACAACTGTTCCTGTGCTTAAAATCTGCATATAACTTCATTAAATTTGTGGCTATCAGGAAAAAAAGACTGAAATTTTTTTCATGTTAATTATAATGCTGATTCACATTCTATCTTTGAATCTTTATATATATATATATATATATATATATATTACATTTATGCTCTGGGAAGCTTCTTTCTTTTTAATCTACAGATTGAAAGATTGGTAAATTTAAGACTGGAACAGCCTTTGTCCTTTTTGTTTTTAATTGCTAATATTACTTACTAAACCAGTAAGTAACATGTATTCTTCAAAAATTACAGAAAATTCTAAGTCTGAATGAATGTTCTTTTCCTCATTTTAGTTTTAGGTTCCCTTTTCATTTCTATGAAAATTTTGGCAGTGTGAAGATGGATAATAACATTTTCACTTCAAAGTGCTTAAGACCCCTCCTTATAACCAATTGGATTCTAAAGAAAATCATATCTAAAAGAGCTAATACACTAGTATTTCAGTTTGATTGAATCTGAATCTCTTTATAATGTCATTAAGATTTGTAATAATAACAGTTCTTGACAGAAATATTATAATATTCATTTGTCTTTTATTAGGTTTTAAACTGACCTTAAAATGAAAAGATTTTTGTTATGCTCTCAGTACTGAATTTTACACTTACCTTGGGATTCTTATTCAATATGACAACTTTTGGAAGAAAAGCACAGCTCAACATAAATGCAGAAACTACTTTTATATGTATGGTTTCGGAAATGTTCTCCCCATTTTCGTTTTATTTTTATGTGTTTTCTAATTTTTTTTGTTTAAACATTTTTGTTGCTTTTTGTCCTAAGGCTTACTATTTTCTCAAAACTCAAATAGGTCAAAAGGTTGAATAAGCTTATACTCAAGAAAACCATCTAGAAAAAACTTGGACAATTAAGACAAATATTTCAATATCATCACAACATTATATTTATTATATTCTTATGTTGTTTTGATACTTTATAGTCTGAAGAAAGGTGTTAACCTTTAAGATGCTATTGCAATCTAAAACACTTTTAAAATGAAATGAAAGCTGTGGAATATATTGTTAGCATCAAATCTCGTTAGCATATTTTTCTAACAGAATTAATTTTAGAGTGAAGATTAAAAATCTATCAATTAAAATTTTGAATAATTTGAGTTAGTATCTTAAAGGATTTTATAAGAGATTAAGGCTAAATACATTTATTAATCTATTACTAAAGTCAAACTGAATTTCTCTTCATTGTGGTTTTCTAAACTTCAAACTTGCATTGTGTTTTCCAAAGTGACTACAAAGATTTTTTTGTTTCTTCTTCATACAAGAAATACTTTTGAGTGGAAATAAATAGACAAATGGACTTTTGTAAAGAGCAGCATCTTCCCATCAATTAGCTTTTCCTTTTTCCCCAAGTAAATCTTCCTAAGAGTTATGATTAATACAAATCTTATGATTCAGCAGACCATAAGCAGGTCTATTATGGTCAGTCTACTCTGGTCAGTCTGACCATCATACTTCTCTCTATGGCAAGTACTTTAAAATAAATCTGCTTCAATATGTAGTCTTGATAAAATGTAAGAATCACTTCCTTCTAATATCAACCAGGAGATATTATTAGAGATAGGATAGATGTTATTAGAGACAGGATAATTAGTCCCTATATGATTATTTTATTCTTCTCCTATCTTCATTTTGCAGAAAGTGAGTGATATGTCTGTTTCTTCTCTAAATATCATCTGTTGTCCATTGCTTGAGACAAGATGTTGAGCTAGAAGGATTTCACTCAGTGCAATCATTATTTCCTAAAACTTTACATTTCATGGATTTCTCTACAGTTTGAATGAAACTGTGGTTTATATATACAAAAAACCACAGACATAAATATATTTTTCCCCAGGCATATAATTTTACTAGGTTTTATTACTTCAAAATCAATTGTACCAGAATATTGAAATTTTTCCAAAATTATAATTTTAATTAATTTGCCATATGTTTTTTTCTTGACTGGTGGTACATTAAGCAAGTAGATAAAATGTTTTCTTTAAAAATATTGAAAACAAAAATTTCCTTAATTTTTTGGATGAGGAAACTGTGTAAAGTTGCATAGCTCATAAAGACTAGAACAAACATGGAAGTGGCAGCTCCTCTAAACACTAAATATGTATTAAGCATACAGATTTCTGTTGAAAAGTTTGGAACTGTGATCCTGACTTCAAATGCAACATAGGATCTTTGGCTCATAAAAACAGAAAACTACTTCCAAGGAAAATATGAAAATGGAGCTCAATAATCCATTTCCACTAAACTTTAGTATGGTAAATCTGTAGATAGACACTGAGAGGAGTGTTCAAAGATGGTTCAGTTCCTAACTCTTGTGGAAATTATTTTTAACAATTCAAGTTGATATCTGCCAAGTGTGTCTGTTTACATTTTAAACTGAAGGAAAAATAATTGAGAAGTACTTTTTAATTCCTATGATTACTATTAAGAAATAATAACCACTGGCCAATATCTTGAATTTCTCACAGATGACTGTTACAATTTTAAATTTTTTCTCAGTATATTGCTGAAGGAAAGAGTGATTTTGTAAGCTTGCCAATAGAATTTTGGAAAATAAGTGTTTTAAGGGAAGCAATAAAACTGTTCAATGGGATGTAGCCAAGGGCACTAAAAATAATCACACATAGAATCATAGAATAATTAAGGTTGGAAAAGACCTCCAATATCATTGAGTCCAACCCTTGATCAAACACCACCATGTCAACTAATCCATAGTATTAAATGCCACATCCAGTCATTTCTTGAACACCTCCAGGGATGGTGGCTCTACCACTTCCCTGGACAGTCCATTCCAGTGTTTAACAACCCATTTCATAAAGAAATTCCTTCTAATGTCCAACCTGAACCTCCCCTGGCACAACTTGACATACCTAAGGGTATGTTCTCTTGTCCTGTCACTTGTTGCCTGGGAGAAGAGGCCATCCCCCACCTGGCTACAGCCTCCTCTCAGGCAGCAGTAGAGAGTGATAAGGTCTCCCGTGAAACTCTTTTTCTCAAGGCTAAACAACCCCATCTCCCTCAGCTGATTTTCATAGGACTTACTCTCTAGACCCTTCCTCAGCTCAGTTGCCTTTCTCTGGACACACTCCAGCACCACAATGTCTTTCTTGAAGAGTGGTCCAGAACATCTTAGAATGCTTCCACATTTGTAATTGTTTGGGTCACAGATGGACTTTTGAAGTGTATAATCTCACATAGGCTCATTTTTCCATGAAAGGTTGGACTTTTAGATCCCTTCCAACCTGGGCTGTTCTGTGGTTCTGTGATTCTGTTGTCTAGGCTTAGCATGTTGCACTCCAAGTATTTGTTATTACGAGTGCTCTTATCAGTTCTCAATGAGCTCCTGTTAAAACATTATTGGAATCTGTAGCATACATCCTATATTCAAATGGGTAAAGGATATTTTCTTTATTCCTTTTCATGGCTACCTGAGCACATTACAGTTAAAAGGTATTATAATACAAAGTGGCTAAATTTGGTCTTGCGGGATGTAATTAATTTAGAATGAACAATATTTTGATTTATTTAGAAGTTCTTCACAATTCTTGGTTCAAAGTAGGCAGGCCTTATCGTGATTACAAAGTTAAGATCAGATTTTGAAATTTAATGGAAGATACCCCCCATCTTAATGTATTTATGTCTTTCTTTTTTATTTTTTAATAAATTATAATTAAAATAACAGTAAAAACAACTGTAATGTATTAAATGTTGTATTGGGAAAGAAAAAGCCAAATCCCAATGCATTAATATCATTATGTATTTATGTATAGATAAAAGAGACCCAATTTATTAAATTAATTAAGATAATATTAAAAACAGTGGCATTCTTTTCAGTCTGTTGTGCTGAACACACGGAGGTAAAGCAGTTCAGCATATCTAAAGTATCACTGGAAATGGGAAAGAAATGAAAGGATGCAAAATACATGCTTCCTTTCCAGCCACAAAACATAAATTAAGAATTAAATGCAGAATAATTCAATATATTGAATAATAGAAATGTTTCATTTCAAATGATTGCTTCAAAAATTCTTCAAAAAAGTATTAAAATGTTTGTTTGAATATGGCCTTTACTTTTTCCAATAAGCAAATGATACTACTTTAATGATCTGTAAGATAAGAAAACAAGTAAAACTCAAGTATATAATTCCATAATTTTAGTTTCTATTCTCTTTCCCATTAGAAAATCTACTAATTATTCACATTATGCCCAAATTAAACATCTCATACAGTGAGTGTATATTGATGTATATAAAAAGTTACTTTTTTTCCCACATGACATTTATGATAGTCTATGAAATGTTTGTATGAATAAATTAACTATGTCTGAGGGCTTTTAAGCAAATACTACAGTAAAATGTTTTACTAGCTCCCATCAGCATCCTTGGCACACCATCACTTCCCATACTAACTACCCATAATGGTTATTGCATCATTATGGTGCTGTGCCATGTACAATATATTTGCACTCAGTATGACACTCTAAATCATAAAAATGTTAAAATTTACCAGATGCTGAACAATCTAAGTATAAACCTTTGAGCTAATGGGTATTTCAGTGTTATATTTCATATTCACTGATAAGTGTGTACCCATGGACTTCAAGGTGATATAAATATTGATTGTTCTTTGTAAACACATTGCCTACTCTGCATAGTATATTTTTATGGTGCATATACTTCAATAAAATAATTGATAAAGCCTTTAAAATACTCGTTATCGTGTTTGTGTAACTGTTTGAAAAGGCTATATAGCATTGTGTACATAGCTTTTAAAGTAACTATCATAATAAAAAATGCAACAGTATTTTATATCAAAGTCTCATAAACTCAAGGATCTGGGTCTGTACTGTAAGCATTGAAGAGTAACTTAAAAGGAAAATTTTTGGTTTTTTCTAACTGCATTTTCCTCTCTTTGAAATGCAATTAGTCTACCTTTTTTGGTTTGTTTGTTTGTTTGTTTTAAATGGAAATGAAACTTTTGTCACTCTTTCTGTGCATTACTGTACCATTAGCCTTCTCTCTGGTAACTTTTGAACACATCAAACATTGCAAAGAAATTTCACCTAAAGTTCCTGCCAGTTTCATAACATAGCAGCAGCAAGTAGGGGACAGAAGAGACATCAGTGAGTAAACTATAAAGAACAAGAAAGGCAGTGCTCAGACATTAAACATTTTGCTGGACAGTGGCCAGATTAGTCACAACATGCACTTTTAGATGCACAGGTTACACAGGAAAAAGGCATATTAGCATGAGAATATGTCATGAATGAGTACTGTGTTTCCATGAGGAAACCATGGGAAGTGAGGCTTCATCAGCTCACTGCCCTTAGAATAACTTGTTTAATTTCCCAAAAACTCTGGGGGGAATATATCACTTTATCTTACCTCTGTGTTTCCAATACATGGTGATAAACATGTGTAATTAAATCCATGAGATTTATCCATACACAATGCTCCGGGAGCACAGCTTATATTGTTGAAAAGGCAGGCATCAATATCGAGTTCACATCTTTCACCTTCAAAACCTGCACCACAAAGAGAATGTTTAATCACACTTCATTCGGAATATTGACATTATGTCTGTTCAGGGTGTTAGCAGTTAACACCACTGTACTAGAGAAATTTGGCAGTTTTATTTCCTAAACAAAAAGTGTAATTCTTCATAAAAATGTTCGCTGTATTCATTGAGATACATTGTCACTTTTATGTTGGTATTTCTTCACCATAAATATTAGGATGACATTTTATTTGTTCTGTTTAGAAAATACAGTAGATTTCCAATGACTCACCTACAGGGCAAGTGCACTGAAAATGATCTTCATAGGCAATACATGTTCCTCCATTTTCACATGAATTGGAACCACAGTTACCAATTTGCACCTCGCAGAATTCTCCTGAGATTGAAAAAAAAAAAAAAAAGTCCTAAAGAAGTTAATAATTAATAACACACCCTTAAAGAAACATCATAAGTTATATTGGTCCTGTCAATAGAATAACCTGCTTTAAATAAGGTCTCTGAAATATTGGTTAGAATTTAAAGATCTTGCATAATTTTCATACTCTTTTTTCTCCACTTATATATACATATATATGTAAATAAATCTCAATGTCTTAAAAAGGAGGTCAAAACAATACTTTTTCAGCATTTAAAACAATTTTAGAATTCATCCAAATAGGGATACAGAGCTGAAGAGGGAGGATTTTCACCGGAAATAATTAACTGAAAGGGAGGCAATACCTTTATATTTCCTCTGCTTTTTCCTGCTGCATGAGTCAAACCTGATCTCTACTCAATACTTTTGAATCTATTATGTACATATTTTATATTTCATTATGTCTTTTCTGAGCTCTCTTTTGGCTAGAAAAAGGCTAATCCACATTTATCTGAGGTAACTTTTAGTGTCATTCCACTGAACAATTATTTGCATACTTAGCTGAAAACTGCCTTTAGAACAGCAGGAAGAAATAACTGAACTTGTAACTGGACAGTTATAAAAAAAATATACTGAAGAGAAATACATCTCTGGCAATGTGATACCAATCAGTAAGGAAGACCATCAGCTTTACCATTATTCTCGGAAAACAAGTAGATTTGGCAAAACCAAAACACCTTAACTTTTTCTTCTTTTTGGTACTGAAAACAATTTAAAAAATTATCTGCATAGGTTTTTGAGGGTTTTTTTCTTGTTATTTGTGTGTAATTTTTTATTTCTCCCTAATTTTATTTTTTTTTTAATTTACTATTTCTACAGCCTTTAACTTTTTTTTTCAATTTTAGAAAATATAAAGAATATAGAGATGAAAAATGAAACAATCTTCACTTCTGAGAAAACTAGAAGAAGGTGCAGGAGTTTTGAGACGTTTCAAGGAGGAAAACTTCAGAAAATACAGTAAGTGTAGATTACTGATGTTTTTACTGCCAACTTGTTTGAGTTACTTCACTCCATGGTTTAATCAGAAAACATGGGAGAAATGTACAGAAAAGTCTTTGTGAGGAGTGGACAAGAAATTTGGAAAATTTCTTAAATCAGACAATGTGTTCTGTAAAATACTGAGTCAGAAGTTAGTATTTTATTTTAAATTCTTCATATGTCAAAAGAAAAAGGAAATAATTTTACTTCCCATGATGAAATTGTTTTAACATTTTTAATCAACTCTCCTTTTGTTCTAAAGCTAGAAACATCAAGACAATACAAATTGATAGTATAAAATCTGGTAAGAAAATGACTACCTCTTCTTCAGCAAAGTATTTCTGCCAATTTTATTCACTTTAGTCCATTCCTGATATAAACCACTTAAGCTTTTGAGTTACACACACTGTATCTTTTAATGTGCTAAAATGGAGTGCCAAACTAAGACCTAAGGACTGCTCTTTATGGACTTCTATAAATGTAAACAGGAATATACTGTGATTTGTTGGACAGAAATCTCTATTTTGGACCATCAAGTACTGAACCACATGTGCAGTATCATGTATTTACAGAGAGGTTGATCAGCATGCTATACAGACTACCAGTGTTTACTTTGTTCTTTTACTCCTCAGTCAAAAATAGCCCACTGATGAAATATCTCAAATTTTCAACAGCCAAAAGTATACTTTGTTGTAATTTATAAAGCTTACTCAGAATTTGTTAAAGCATATTACTATAGTAAAATGTAAATAATAGGGAAAGTGTGTAATAGTAAATTACATACTTTTTGCAGTTTATTATTATCATTATTATATAATAATACACAGGAAACTATGGGTAAATTGCCTTTACATTTATAAGACTCTCATTTGCTCTTTTTGTATTGACACTAATGGTAGCTTAAAGTATGTGTATCTCAGGGGAGACTCCATCATGACTAATACTTTTAGAAAGCCACTTTCTGTAATACTGGTTGGCAAAAAGTTATGCTAAAACATAAATAGATATTTTGATTACAAAATCAACTGAATGTATTGAGGAAGTTTCTATCTCCTAGGAAACTGTTGGGTCTTTTCCTTTTGTTTTCTTTCGGTTTTTTTTTTGTTTGTTGGGGGGTTTTTGTTTGTTTGGTTGGTTTTCCTTTCTTAATGAGGTTTGGAAGGCACAACTGGGAATAAAAAAGTCTGGGAATAAACTTTGACTCAATATGTATTTTGGATCCATTTTGCATGAGGATGAAATTGTCTTGTCCAAGAAAACCGTATGAAGAAATATTAGTGCAATCAAACAGGCTTTAAGAATTACTTTGCTATAAATCTGAAATTCTTATAAAGGCCATATCCTTTAAGCAAGCTTTACAACTTTTCCCTGCCACGAGGTCAAAAAAATCTAGTAACTCCAAACTGTTATAAAATTTATTGGAATCTGAATACTGCTGAGAAATGCATAATTTATGGTATTAAAATCTGATTAAGTGATAAATGGATATCAGGAGAGATCTCCACAGTAATCCACTTAGCTTTTAATGCCTAATTATCACTTCATAGTAAGGGCTGAGTAATTGAGAAGTGCAGTACTTAGAGAACTCAAACAAGATTTTTGTGCACAATTAAACTTGTGATTCTTCTATCAGGAATAAGTTCAGCAGGCACAAGGGACAAAGGAAAAAATAAATTAGCAACATTAAAGGGAGGGAAAATGATAGGATTTTGCTGTTGTACTGTTGATTTTTATGTGACCCTATGCATTTTATACCTAAGCATGTGCTCTTAGTTTGTTTAAATAAATAACCGTAAATTAGCCAATCCAGGTAAAATTCACCTAAGAATTCTAAAGACACTAAAATATGGCATTGCTGAAGCAACATTAATTGAGTGAGCAATCTTTTAAATGGGCTTTGGGAGCAGAAAAAGGAAAGATGACAAATGCAATACAAATTCTGAAGGGAAACATGAGGATTTTGTTCCCTGTAGCCCTGCAAAACAATACTGACACTTCTAGCAATAGACCATAAGCTTTGAATTAACTTTGCAAGAAGTGAGCCTCATCAGACTTGATCTGTCTTTCCTGCATGAGATTTTACTTGGCTTAACTGTGACAGCATTTTTTTTCTTCTGGTTTGCCTTACTTTTGTTTAACTTTGCATGGAATAACCAGTTTTATATAGACAGTAGTAACAAGTAGTCATTCTATGTAGGATGATGCTTACTACTCTAATGCAATGCTGTATAGAAATGCAGGGCTGCTACAATAATAAGAGACCTTGAGAAGTGGAGACATAGGATGTGATGTGAGGAAAACTGCATGAAATGATCAGAGATGGGGCACAGGTCTGGCATGGGAGACTCCATGACTGCAAACAACTCACCAGTGTTCAGTTAAAAAAAGCCTGGACAAAACTGGTCTTAAGGGTAAAAAAAAAAAACCAAAGAAATAGTATTTAATATGTCTTAGAGCCACCATAAAAAGTAAATTCAGATACAAAACAGAGCTTCAGTCCAATGAAGAAAAAGTATAAGCGGACATGTAGAAATGGCCCCAAGTGGGTCCTAGAGAGATGAAGAAGAAACCACTAGTCACATTCCTCCTTTGAAGGACTATAGATTCTTCTAACACTGCCCCCAACAGCACCACTGTGAAACCACTGACCTTAAGATCTGGAGGAGGAGAGAAAAGGGTGAGTATAATGTCAGAAAATGGACAGAAAGTAAAAATTCTGTTAGTCCCAATTTAAACTGCACTTTTACTCTTTTTCTCATTTCTAATCTAGTGAATAGGTTTGACTCAATAATGATTATAATTTTAATATTTCAGTAACATTATCAGTACATTTCTGGCTTTACATGTATATAAGGTGTACTTCTCCCTTGCACATAACCAAGATTTTGAGCGTAACAGAGTCATCTAGAATTGTATGTACCAGTAAGTCTGACTTTATCAAATAAGTTCCCGAAGGTTCTTATAAAGAATATAACTCACTCTTGCCTTCCATATTGCCAGTGTAGAAAAGCCAGCACTTCTAATGAGTGTTTCATTTTTAACTGGCCCAAACATATTAAGCTCTACATCAGAATTTTCATTCCTTAGGACTTCAGCTAGCACAACTCTAGCACTTGTCATTGCTACAGATAATTATAGTTTTATGTGATCTGCTTTAGTCTATTTTTGTTCTTCTATTCTCAATTTAACATTATCATCTTTTTCCCAGAAACTATTCAAGTGTGCTAATAAAAAGTATATGAATGTGATCTACACATTACTTTTCAAGCATTTAAACTGAGAAGCTATTAATTGTTTGGCAGAGTATGGTCAGTTGAAGTTCCCTTTCTGAAATGTGGGCCTTTACATCCATGGTATTGCATTTAAGGTCGTGAAAAACTCCATTTTTGTAGTATGATTTGTCTCATCCTGAACTCTATGTCCAAAAAAGTCACATGATAGGAGCCCTCTGAAATTCTCAGTTCTTTCCACATATCCTAAAGAAAGCACAGAGTGACAAACCTGTTACAGACATTGAAAGCACTTAAAAATTACCAATGTTTTATTTTGTTTCCTGGAACTTTAAATTTATTTATTTTGAAAGACACTGAATCCACTTACAGTTATACTTATTGGAACCACTAGAGGTTGGAAGATGGGTTTTCATGGATTCTGAATATTTCCTTCAATGATTAATTTCTTTCTAAACCAGGAGAAGGTAAAATTTTACCTTTGTATTTAACATTTGAGAATATCTGCCCATGTTTACCATTCATGCAGTAGCAGATAACAGGGCTAAGCCATAAGCTGACTGTGGCCAGTGGAAGTCTTTTTGATCTTTTCAAAAAGCTTTAAATTCAGCTCCATGGAAATAAATTATGCTGGCTGGTAAAATCTGAGAATAAGTTTTACTCTGAATGTGCAAAAAAGCAAAGGATAGACATTATTGGTGTAAAGCCAAAAGAGTCAGATAAGATAAAGCAAATCATCAGAGTTCTGAAAACTCCCTAAGAAGCAAATGTGGGAGTTGTATACCTTAATAAAGGCATGTCTTTCAGTTGAGAACCTTACTAATTATTTACTTAGAAATTCATACACATTGATGCATCTATGCTTCTTAATAAAAAACAGCTCTTTAAGTTAACCATGTAATATATAACTATTCTTGATGAACAAAAACTCCATCAAAATTCTTCCTTATTTATATGGACAAAATATAGGCACTGTACGCAAATTGAACTAGAAACTAAAATACTAAGAAATATGAAGCATACTTATAAATATCACCCTGAATTGGGAACATTTTGTTCCATTTTAAAAGCAGGCAGAACTTAAATACTGATATTACATTTCTCTTTGAAATACCAGGTAGAATGTTTTTATAGTCTTTTGGCTTTTCATGCAATTGCTGCATGCCAAAATAATAGAATAATTTCCAGCACTAGAATTTCAATAGTAGTATTATTTCTTCTGGAAATCAGGACCTGAGAAAAAAATTGTTGACTTGAACTAGTGTAGAGGGCAGTCTGCTTGGAGTTACTACAAGTATGGTACAACATCAGACATTAGCTCTTGTTTATTGTTCTAGAGTTTATCTACTTCAAATTAAATATTATGCCAGTATGGTTTAATGTGTTCTTCTAATATTTTTGTTGCTTAATTCTCTATCTTTTCATTACAATTACTAGAGTTGAATGCTCCATGTGGAGTGAAATTGGTGTTTTCATGTAAGTCAGCTTGCTAGCTTCTTAGGTGAGACATCCTTCTAGTCCTCCCAACACACCTTGAGAACTGTGTGCAATTTTGGGAACCACAATATGAGATGGATATAAAGCTGTATCCAAAGAAGGGCCACCAAAAGGTGAAAGGATCTAGAGGAAAAGCTGTATTAGTTGTAGCTGAGGTCATCTGGCTTGTTCACCCTGGAGGAGGCTGAGGTCTTATCACAGTCTACAGCTTCTTTGTGAGGGGAAGAGGAGGGGCAAGCACTGAGCTCTTCGCACTGGTGACCAGTAATAGGACCCAAGGGGATGGCATGAAGCTATGTCTGGGGGGTTTAGGTTGAATATTAGGAAAAGGCTCTTCACCCAAAGGGTGATTCGGTACTGGAACACTCTCCCAGGGAAGTCGTCACTGCACCACAGCACCAAGACTGACAGAGTTCAAAAAGCTTTGGGATAATGTGCTCATGAGGGTGGTCCTAAGCAGATTCTGGACTTGAACTCGATCCTTGTGGGTCCTTTCCAACTCAGAACATTCTATGATTCTAATGGAGTCAGTGTAATTCATGTTTTTTCTAAGAATTTTACTGGCGTTGACAGAGACCTGTATTGGGAGAAAAGTTAAAGAAACGTACTAGCTAAAAACGTTTGCCTTTCACTCTAACTGGTGCTATTTGGACACACCTCCTAAAAGGCATTTTAAACAGCAGGTAATGTTTCTGGGCAGCTGCTGAAGAGGATTAGAAAGAGAATTACTTTGGTTGTTATTTTTACTTTCTGTCACTTATCACTGAAAATTCTTCTTCAGTAGAAAATTGAATCCTCTGAAAAGTAGCAAGCTGTTCCTTTTTTCTTCATTTGATGAAGGTAAGTATTCTGAGTGAATTCCTGTAGCAATACTTACTAAGTGACTTCTTTTATTCCTTTATTTCAGTACACAGTCACCGATATTTGAGATCTGTGTGCACTAACAATTTCTCTTTCAGAGGTGACAATGGTAATAACACATAAAGTGCAATGAACAAAGCCTAAAATGGCAGCATCTGTTGCTGAGAAATATACTGCTGTGTAATTCCAATGACACTTCTGTGACATAGGAACCTCCCATGATGCTACAAAAATTGCTTTACCTGCTTAACTTTAGTATAAGGATTAGAGCTGTGAAAAAAAAATTCTTTTTATCTATTTGAGTTTTGAGACTTATGAGATTATCACTGTACTTCAACATGAAATGCCAACAGAAAGTACTGAATGAATTCCTTATTTTGCTTCACTTGTGTGCACAGCTTTTGCTTGACCTAATGACTTGTCTTTATCTCAAGTTTTCTTACTTTTGCCCTTCTAATTCTTTTCACCATCCCATTGGGGAAGAGTGAACAAAAAGGTGTGTGATATTTAGCTGCCACCAGAGTTAAAACGCGTCAACACTGTATTCTAGAGAACAAAAGAATTTAAAAATGTGGATTTGACCAGATAGAAGGATTTAAATTAGGCCATATAATTGTTTTGCTCACTAGTGTAAACATTGTCTTAACTAGGTTGTGAAAGATATTGGAACTTTTATATCCTATATCTTTTTCTCTGGAACATTAGCTATTATGGAATCAGAGATACTTTCTACAGAATAGTAATACAAATAACCCATGCAGTTCAACAAAGAATATTTATATTCATTTCCCATATACCTATAGATCCTAGCTGATCTGTCTCAACTCAATATAACAATGAAAGAGAAATAATAAACTATGGAGACATTGAGATTAATCCTAATGAGTCCTATAAAAGGAAAGTTTGAAGATGAGAAAAAGTATGTAATTAAGTAGTACTTAAAATTCTAGTGGGTGAGTTTTCTTGGGATTCAGTTCATTTTAGCAGCAGTAAGATTATTTTAATTAAAGGACTTTTCTACCAACTAAATGAAGTGTCTAACATGAAAAATCAATCCTTGCCAGTATGATTGCTCTACACTCAAGAAAAGATAGTAATAAATTAGAGGAAGCTTATTCAAGAACAATTGGCCTACTGTGCAAAACTTGCTGATACGTATTGTTTCAGTGTCATAAGCCATGTTACTTACTTGCACTGTTGTAGATATAAAGGTTTTTATCTACTTTCAGAGAAGAGAAAAATGAAAATAAAGACCTAACCATAGAAGGAAATTGAAAGCACAAAAATAATGACATCTATTCAACAAAAATATATTTATTGATATATATTCTATATATTACTTTTATTAGTAAATTACCCAAAATGTATTTTACAAATAAACAGAAACAAAAAAAAAGTAGTTTAAAATTGCATTTGTGTGTATATGGTAAGTTTCTACAAGGTTTTTTTAAAGAGTATGGAACCAAAATGAAATGGTTATATAACTTTCTTAATCAAAGTTCTGCTTTTCACAGCTGAGAACATTACATCATGCCATATTTTGTGTTCCCTAAGATGTCTATTCCAAACATGATTTAAATGTTAATGCAAAAGCTACAGCTGCAATGTTTATAATTTATAAACACAATTAAGAACAATTAGATGTGAAACTACAATAGCTTTTCTGGTTGCAGATGCTATTTCATTCAGAGTCAAGTAAACATGCCAAAATTGCTACTGCATTGTCCTCCCCTTCTCAAACACATAAATGAAACAATAAACAAGTATAAATGGAAATTTTTATGGATCAAGATTGAAGAACTAACTGATTATTTAAAAATAGAAAAAGTAAAAAACAAAAAATCAATTGCAATATAAAGAACCACTAACAATGAGATGCCACAAAAGAAAGAATCTTGACCTTATAGCAAGATGTCCCTGAACAACAAAGTCAATTCCACTTGAATTCAGTCATAACTCAGTGTTTAGTAAGGTTTAATTGTATTAATTGCATACATTTATTGTCATATATTGTAGGCTTTTAAACTTTTGTTTTATGATCATATTGTACACTAGAGATCTTAAATTACCTTAAATTCCTTGAAGTATTTTAGTGAAACATTATTTTTATTAACAAATCCATAATTTTAGGTGTCACATCAATTCAAAAAACCCCTCAAGTTTAGATTGAAAAAATAAAATCAAAAAGGTGATAAGGTAGAAGTGAAGAGAAAGGTTGATAGTTACTACTCTGGGGTATTATTCTATTTATTTTTCAATGGCATTATATTAAAAGTCTGTTTTCTCTGTGTAATTTCTTTAGATTAAATTAATATTCAATCTTTGAGTAATAAATATTAAGTATCTGTATTTCAGTTGGTTATTTTTTAAATTCTCTTAATGTTTTTGGTACTTATCTTTAAATTGAGGTGCATATGACTAATTTCTGTTTCCTTAACGTTACCTAAAACTGCAGTGAATCACATTCAATGCTTCTCTTTCAGTTCCCTCTCTAACCAAAGATTGGTGAAGGATTTTAGAATCCAACTTGAATGAGTTTCTATTTAAAGAGTAAGGCCGGAGGAAAACTCAGAAATTGTTTTCTTTGCCAGATAAACAACATGGTTAATATAAGCTACTTTTTAAGTCTTCTTTTCTGTCTAAGTAAAAGAGAAACAGTCCTGAAGAACTTCTGTCAATGACTAACAAGTACCTGACACAAGTGGTCTTAGTCCCCCTCTGAAAAACTTACTCAGTGATGACTCATAGAGCCTTGAACATGTGTTTACTGATCTCACATTCTTTTAGTCAAGTAAAGTGAATAAACTAATCCCACACCAAATGAAATTGCCTAAATAATTGGTGATCCACCAAGGCATTACAATAGGAAGTGGAGTTCATCTCCCAGAAACTAAACAAAGTTATCTGAGCAAATAAGGGCTGATACAAATTAACAGCCTTCTGTACTACAGTACTTTCATTAACTAGATTTCCAGGAACTACAATGAGAAAGCAGACATATAGTTCACATGCAGAACTTTTATGTGTAGACATACACATGATCTCTTAAATTGAAGCTAAGGCTTTTTCTAAGTCTATTCTTTCTGTAACCTTAATTCAAAGATTCAAAACTAAGTTGCAAATTCTGTTTAGATTTTGTAGGCATCACATCAGAGGGCAAAAAATGCAGACACTTCTCTATCCTTTACTTTTTAAAATTCAGCATTCATATACTTTCATTTTTAAAGGAAATGAAATTACAAACTTCTGCATGATTTATATATGCCTTACCTGTGAAATCACGAGGACACAGACACTGAAACAAAGGTTGTTCCCTCCGTTGGCTCATATCTATGCAAGTTGCTCCATCAGAACAACGATTTGGGTAAACTAAACATGCATTTTCAGCAAATTGGCAAAATTCTCCTGTCCATCCAGGTGCACAGAGGCACTAGATATAACAAACACACAAACAAACACAGAGGAAACACAAAATGAAAATGCAATGTGAAAGTCTGTTGAATTTTCTTCAGGCCTTGTATTTTACTACCACGTAAAGTTATTCTTCAAGCCTGTATATACAGATGGTAAAACAGTTGACAAAGGCAAAACTCATCTACCATGTCTATTGAAAAAGTATGGAAAGAGAGGACACATGAGTTGGAGGAAATTGCAAGATAATTATTGGCTGTAAGGGATAGAGCTGCCTGCAAAAACAGAAGAACTGAATGTGCAGAAAAGGTTTTAAAGGCTCGGAGAGGAGGGAGAAATCAGACAATGATGTTAACAAAGCCTGCAAGACAAAGATAGGGGCCAACCAATAATCAGAAAATGGACTATGAGGTTTCTGTTATACATCCTGACCCTATCTATTAACTATAATAAATAAAAATAATTTCTACTGAGGAAAGGAAAAGAATTGAAGCTTATATTAGCTTCTCAAAAGAGTCCTGTGATACCTATACATTAGAGGTGCCCTGATCAAATATAACTAATAGTTTGTCCTGAATCCAATTGCAAGGGCAATAAAACTGTATTGCCAACAGCAGCATAAAAGTATTTTAGAACCATGGTGGTGTAGCCAGTCACAATGAATATGCATTTTACGTGAGTATGTGTACAATGTGACCACAAAAGGGAGAGAGATGAGTTGTAGTGATTCATACAAATAACAAAAAAGTTGCAAAAGAACAAGATTACCATAATGCATAGAAAATAGGCAGAACAGATTGCTGACTACAGAAGAAGAATGACTGTCAGGACACAAAAAGCCCCAAGGCAAGTAATATTAGAAGACCATCCTTTCTTTAAGGGCAAGGTAGGGTGGTGGGAGATAAAATAGCATAAACCATCAAATGCAAAGTGGTAGAATGGAGACAAAGGAAGACAAGCTCAAGTCAGTAATGACTTCTCTCATCAAAGAGTTCATGAGACAGATTACCTTGACTTTGGGAGCTGAGAACCCTAGGGACCATAGCTGTCAGCACTAACTAGAAGGTATCATCTCCATGGTATTGTGTGATCACAGATAATTTAAAATGTGTTACAGAACAGCAGTATGTAGGTGTACTGAGAATGTCTAATAATCTGTAAAAAACTAAGTGTGCTGTTTATCAATTAACTCATTGAAGTTTGTTTTAAAGTTTAAAATTCACCTGACCTTTCTTCTAAACATTCACAAAACAGTGATCTGATATACATGTTTTATAAAAATGAACATTATTTAGGTGTCCAAGTGAAGACTTTAGGAGAACTGCAGTGATGGCAATCCCATACTGTGAATCTCTGCATTCAGCTATTGAAACAACAGATAGCTAAAGTGGACTGTCATCTCCCGAGTGACTGAGGTATAAGAGAAGCATGACAGCCAACAGAATTAGTGAACTTACCTTTCCAGGACCTGGAACAACACAATGTTCTCCAACAGTTGCGTATTCTTTAGTCCTTATTTTCCAAATTCCTATCCTTGCATTGCTCTGTTGTGCCAACATCCATTATTGTATTAGATGAAGATACTCTTTATCATGTTCTAGTTACATTAATCCACTCCCTCATCTTCCCTAGATACATCCTGTCAAGCCCTTTGGATATATATAAACCCTTTTTTTTGCCCAAGTAGTTCCTAGTTTGGCATTCCTCTATCACTGACAGTATTTCTTTCCTGTAAATTTTGCCACTAGAGTACAGGGACCTGGGAAACTTGAAAAGAGACATTAGCAAATAAAAACCAGAGCAAAGACACTGAATGTCAGCCACCTAATTCAGTAGTGGGCTTACATTATCCTTGCTCTCGATAAGTTCTTGCTCTTCAAATAAGTTCACCGAAGTTTAACCCTATTCCTAGTGAAAACTTGAAAAATTATGTTCTCAGGGATGGAGTTGGTGTTAAAACTACATTTACTTTTCATCTGGTAAAGTGATTTTTTTGCACCTGGAGTGAAACATATTGCTGGGAAGGCAGCATTCAGGAATTGAATCACTATTTCTAGAATATACCAGAATTGTTTCAAGGATAATTGAAGGACAAGTCTTAGGATGCTTAAGCCAGGACTTTCCACAAATGCTAAGCAGTATTTTAAAGATTAATTGTAATCATCTCAACAGCATACTCGTGCAATAACCTGGTTTTTTCCTTCTCAGTTTTCAGTTGCCTGGTAAGATGGCTTTCAAAATTAAGGCATGCATGTCTTTAGGCTGCTCTGCCACTTTTAAAGTACATGGAGAAAATCCCAAGTAACTAAACATTTAAGCATCAAACTGGGTACAAATTCTTTCAATTTTTGTTTTGCCTTCCATAATCTCTTATGTTGTTTTTTCTTTGCTCAGATTTCTTCTTTTCCCTGTCCCTCCCTCTGTCACCCTGTTCCCCAACTACAGTCTGACTGATGTGCATATCCTTACAGCTGTTTATTTTTTCAATTTTTCCTCTAAGTGTCTTCAAAATTAGGAACTGGAGTGACTGATTTATGACAAAAAGTTTAAAGAACCCAGAACATGCTGTTTGGCCAAATGACAAAAAAGAAATAGTATTTTAATTTTTCTGCATTGATGGAGCTGTGAGAATTGTTTAAATAAAGAAAATAAAATCCTTAGCTTAATACCTGAAAAAAATTATGCTTACATTTTTTTTGTATGTAAAGTACATTCCTAAGTAAAGTTCTAGAAGTCACTCACACTGGGAAGATAATAACTGCAAGAAACATATGGAAGTTTAGTTCATAGCTAGCAAACCTGTTCCTTCTTAGTGAACTGGAGGGAAAGACTTATTTTGGGAGAATTTTTTAATCACTTCCTTCTTCCAATTGAAATAGATGTCTTTCTATGGAAGGCAAAGTTATGGTTTTTTCTTCAAAATGTGTAAAAAAATGAAAATTAGGATAATTCTATAGCTGTCAATAAATTATGTTATGCCTATAATGGCTAAGGTCTTAAAAATTTATAATATTAAATCATTATCCTACAATACACCAGCGTACATGAGTGACTTCTAACTTAAAAACTAAATTACTATATCTGTCAAATTTGCAGATGACACCAAGCTGAGTAGTGCAGCTGACACACCTGAAGGATGGGATGGCATCATGAGGTACCTGAACAAGCTCAAGAAGTGGGCACATGGGAACCCAAGGAAGGTTCAAGTCCAAATGCAAGGTCCTGCACCCTAGCTGGGTGAATCCCTGGTATCAACATGGGATAGGGGTAAAGGAATTAAGAACAGCCCTCTAAAGACAGCTGGAGGTAGTGGTGGATGAAAAGCTGGACATGAGCCAGCAATGTGCACCTGCAGCCCAGAAGGCTGACTATATCCTGGGCTGCATCAAAACCAGTGTGGCCAGCAGGCCAAGGTGGGGGATGCTGCCCCTCTACTCCGCTCTGGTGAGACTTCACCTGGAAATTTTTCACAATGAGAATGATGAAACATTGGAATAAGTTACCCAGAGAGGTGGTAGATGCCCCATCCCTGGAAACACTGAAGGTCAGGTTGGATATGGCTCTGAGCAAGCTGATATAGTGGAAGATGCTTGCAAGGGAGTAGAATTAAATGACCTTTAAAGGTCCCTTCTGTCGTGGTTTTGCCCAATACTTCCAACCCAATACATTCTATGATATTATGATCTCTAATATGGTATGCTGATTCATGTGAAACCCTGATTTCAGGTAAACCAATTAAGGGTCTGGGCAGAAAAATGGCATAGCTTGAATTAATTATTAAATTTTACTAGATTTAGTAAATTTAGTAATTTTCTATTTTTTCATTTGTCAGGTGGATGTATGAGGTAAAACAGAAACTAAAATTCTATCTGTGCAAATGTCATATAGGGATGGGGAAGTTAAATTTTGTGTACTTTCGGCAGGTGCCACCTCTCTTTACATACAACTTTATAAAATAATGAAACTTTATTCATGTTTAATTATAACTTAGGCAAATTAAGAATGTGCATTATTGAGTTTTTGGTAGTAAACGAAGAAATGGCAAATACCAAAGGATGAAAAATAATCAGCAAGAAGCTATAACTTGTAGTAGAAAATTACTCTATAGTAGAGGAAACAGATGCTGAAGACATCATAAAATTTATGCAGCACATGGAAAATGTGTGTTTGATTTTACTGACATTAATAAATGGGCTAAAAAAATATTATAAGTTATGTCCCTCAGAAATACACAGTGCTGAGTTGGCTAAATGAATTTTTATGAAATCTTTCTACAGACATTCTCCATATCTCAAGGGTCCAGCTCCTTATTAGATAGGGAAATCAGTAAAGAAGAGATTTGGGGAATTATTGTGTCTTTGAAAAGTGGTTTAAACTTGACACAGGCTTTATTTTAACTTCTTTTCAGAAGTTTCATTTAAAAATTAAACAGAACATGCTTATTGGTTATATCTGGTGTGGTTTACTGTCTATTTATATTTAATTATATGCTATTCTAGTGTATCAATTAAGATACATTGTATAAAGGGTATTATGTGATTAGAGTTTTAAATATTTTTTATTTGAATTAATTCTTAAAAAGCAGTATATTACAGGATATTTAGTTTATTAAATGAAGATTTCTACTGTTTATTAACTTCTCTACAGCTCAGGGATAAGTAACAGCACATATAAAATGTGCCTAGGGTGCTTTGATATTGTTGGTTTCAATAGAATAAGAAAAGCAGGACAAGGTAGTTTTGACAAAGTTCAAATTAAACACTGAAGAAGTAATAACTGTATAGGACATTTTAAAATTTATGTGAACTCGTCTGTAGAATTACCTCTACTGTGTGAAAGAAAATTGACTAATTAACTACTGTAAAACTAGCCCCTAATGGAAATATCTGACTTTGAACTTCTGCTGTTTTAAACACTCAGCTGGAAGGACAAACATGAGAGAGACATCAATAGAATTAATGATAGTGGCAAAGTGGCTTCACAGAGATGAGACCATAATGCTCATCCAGTCCATGGGGA